TTCGTCGCTGTCGGCTCAGGCCCTCTTGTCGACAATTTCTATATGCCTATATACCCAAAGAAGTAGTTTATCTGCACACGCACAAACACTATACATCCCATGTGCCAAAAACGTTGGTCCAAATGCAATAGGAATCTGAGACAGCAATTGTCATTGGCAACTTAATTTGCCCTTAAGACAGACGTCAACGGGCTTTTGATATGGGAAAGCCAAGTTGCAAAGGAATGCTAAAGTATCAAGGTCAAGGACATAAATCAATTCCTGTCCAGAAGTCTGAAAGATGCAGCATCCTCCATCCTTAACCATGTGACTCAAGAGCCGCAATTTTGGTGGCCCCTGCCCCAAGTCATTGATGTTTTGACGTATCCTAATCTTAAAACCAAATTAACATTATAAAAATGTCTGACCTCGTAGACAAAAGATTTCTAGACTTCAAGAAGGTCATAAATTACATTTTTTAGGCTTTCAGGTAAGAACATCTCGAAATACGCCGAAGATTACCACCTTTATGTGACTACTTTTAAATCCCCGACGTTGATGCTCATTTGTTATCTATCAGAGACAATAAAGTAGCTAATCGATCGCAATGAGAACAAAATTCAGTCAGCAAAAAAAGAAAGGCGAAAAACCCGTGAAACATCTACACAGTGGTACGGACAGACCCAGTTATGAGTTACGATCTGGAAAATCCCCTAATTCTCGGAATGATGCAACAAATCATCAAACACGAGAACCCCTCTTATACATCCATATCGCTCTTCTAGCAATATATCATCCGAATTCTTGGCATTATGATTTTAAATAGATGCCAGCATCATCCACAGTCCCTTGCAATTTTTTGAATTACTGCCCAATCGTAAAACATCTCACCAAAGGGTGTTAATTATTCAATTTTAAAAACCAACAATTATACATGCTGTGCAAGAGTAAGAAGGAAAAGAAGAAAAAAATGTAACACAACACAGCGAAGGAATATCTACTATGTTGAAACTCCCAATGTAAAACCTTACAATTCCACTCGTACATGCAGTTAAATTACTTACTTTGACCAAATATCGTCAGTCAGCCATAGACATGAATCTCTGAAAGTAACCTGAAAGAGAAGCAGCAGAAATGTTCGACAGGCAACAGAACAATAATAACAACCGTTTCACCCCCCCCGGTCGGACCCTTATTACAAATCGTATACCTGCTCAGAGGGGCGTCTGTCTCATTGTATTTAAGTATGTATTCATATCAGCTGCCATTTATTATTAGGGTCCGCACCCTAATCCGCTATCGCCTTTTGCAGAACCAACTTCAGCATTTTGGGGTAACAAACCTACTACACCATACACTACTCCACTACTACATATTATATCCGCCACTGCCAGCGCTTACTACCCTCGCCCTTTACAATTACAAACTTGCCACGTCCTTATGTGCTTCTACGAAATGACTGCTCCCATGCGCCCCTCAAAATAAACCCTTGTGCACAATATTATTATGTACATTGTTATCCTTTCCTGTAGAATGACTTTATCTGTTTAGTACTAAATTCAGTATAAGTGTGCACCCGCACTCTCACCTGACCAAAACCTATTAGTTAATTATGCAATACCAAACCGTGTCGTATTGCAAAAATATCTGATTTCGTGGGTATTTTCAGTTTTGTTTTATACAGATGTTTGCGGTCACTGCGGAAATCAAAAAAGGACAGTACCAGTCATGCTGAAAATCAAACTTATCGGACTTTTTCAGTCAACTTTCTACATCGCCAACAATAATAATAAATAATGACTGGAAAAATTTTACGTTAACTAATTAGGCAAATAAATGAACCGTTGGTACAGTAAATAATGCAAAAAGCATCATTATTTTTAATTTACTTAACGGTCTACCATTGTAACAAGAGTACCTGCCATGTAGCGGCAGTACTAATGCTCAGTATTTATTTCCACTTCTCATAAAAAGCTCGCCGCTACTCACAGTTGACGATAAGTTTTACGCAAAACTTGTAAAAGCAATGATATATGCCTGACGGTTCATTCTATGCATGTTCGATTACTTTTGAGTATGTATTAGGTGGTGAGAGTAACAATACTCAGTATTTTTTCCACTTCTCATAAAAAGCTCGCCGCTGCTCATAGTCGACCGTGAGTTTTGCGCTTCACCATTAAAACCAAATTTGTAAAAACAATGATATATGTCTAACGGTTCATTCTATACATGTTCGATTACTTTTGAGTGTCTACCAGGTGGTAAAGGCAACAATGCTCAGTTTCTTTTTCAACTTCTCATAAAAAGCTCGCCGCTACTCACATTTTCGTATTTCTCATAAAAAGCTCGCCGCTGCTCATAGTCGACGGTGAGTTTTACACTTCACCATAAAAACAAAACTTGTAAAAACGATGATATATGCCTGACGGTTTATTCTAGACATGTTTGACTTCTGTTGAGTACCTACCAGTATGATGCATGTCTAACAGTAATTTTCCTACTTCTCATAAAAAGCTCGCCGCTGTTCATAGTTGTCGTAAAAACAATGATGTCCCCTGTTTATATTTCGTTTAGATGATTCAGTTGTCGATCATTAAAAAAACGCATTATGTTCCGCTGTTCGTTTGAAGGTTTGTCGTAAATTACCCGAGCATGTCGAACGATGAGAACAGCTGCGGCGGTAGAAATTTACACCGCAAGAACATCGGCGAATAACCATCGGCATAGCATCCATTGTCGGGAATCGTTCAAAGTTGCTTTAGCCTCTAGCTTGGCAGAAGACCTCTCGGTGCCAGCCTGCATACATTTATACGTAATACCGATTATGCCATCGTATCAAACCGCAGGTCTCAGCAGTTGTCATGTTCCTGAACAAATGTAGCATCCTAATTACGACGCCTGACACGGACGACAAGCCAAGTGAGCAAATCTAACAAATGAGTGATGATAGTGACACGACAAAACATTATTTCAAATGCGACAACGGAAAAGGCCCCACGGAACTGTTGAACACAAAATTAATATTTGACAAGACACACGCAAGAAATAAAAAAGGATGTCAAGGATTTTTAAAGTGTCACCAAAGATTTGAAAACTAAATACATATGTACATTATTTCTAAATAAACAAAATGATCTTCGCACCATTGGTGAGAACTATCTACTAGGGATATTAACTGTACGGACGATAACACGTCGATAACCAGTTCACTTAAATTAAACTGGAAGACACTATATAATTATCCGTTTTATAAGATGAGCACCGGGACCTCAATTAATTACCATTTTGTTGCTATCTCGCAAAGAAAGGAGTCGTAATCGTAAGTGCTATAGATAGGGAAAAAAGATGACATAAAGGCAGAGACCAATAAAGGTCTAACAACCAAGAACGAAGAAGAGCAATCGGTAGCGCGATCTCAGAGAATCGTCCACTTCTTCTGAGACGAAGAAGACGAAGAGAAAAGGACCGAAGAAGCCTCATTAATAAAGTTACATCTAATTGACAGCGGTTCGATTAAAACGAGATGATATAGAAGGGAATATTATCGTCGTGTTGCCAACGTCGTCGTCACCGTCAAAACGACGATCTTCCAAGTAATAGTATCCGGGAAATCGATGCTGTTTTACAGTCGGTTTGCAACCCACGTCGATGTAAAATAAACGAACTGATGGTGATGATTCGTGGCTTCGCTCTCCGCTGATGCTGTCTTTGTGAATCAAGATCATGTAATAGCCTAGCACTCATAGAAATGTACAGTTGCTAACGGAATTTTTGCACACAATCAATCGGCAATTACAGCAAAAAAACATTTGCAACAGCTAAAAAGCGATCGCAGTTTACGTATATGAGGCCCGTAGTTAGGCCGACGATCATTGGAGATAGATATTCTTTACTCCTCCTCTTGAGAGAGGGCTTCCAGTTCCTCATTGACAGCACATGATAGAACGCTGGTTGCAGTCATATAAAAACCGAAACTTAGTTAGATTAACTGATTATTATTGAAAGTGAAAAATTTGAAAGCTAGACCCGAATTGATCGAACAGAATGATAGATAACCATCTCACAAATGATAATTAGTATATTAAATTTACTTTCATAAATAGAGTGCAATCGAAAGAAACAAATCTATCGAGAAGTGAAAGGTAAAACTTTCAAGAAAAAATAATGTTGATTTTATCTAAATAAGAAATGAACTTTAGAGTAAGTAGTTGTAATATGTACTACGAGACAGTTCCCAAAAAAGAAAAAAAGTAAAAAACCATTTGTTTTCGTAATCCGACTTCCTGGGACATCGCAGTGGAAAAACCACAAAAGAAGAATGTTTTTATAACAAGACTTTCTAGAATCTATCTAGAATATCCATTATTATCGAAACGATTCTGCTGGCTGAAACCCTTAAGCTAGAACAGCCTTTTCTGGTACCAAGTTTTTATCTTTAATACTCTTATCGCATGTTCTTAACGTAGGTACCTTTTCAAAGATAAGGTCAATAAAGGATGGAATCTAGTATCACATGTTTTCCCCAACTTTTTATGAAATGGGACTTCCAATAATAAAAGCTCTCTAAAAAAGGGCTTCAAAATTTTTTTAACAATCTCATCAAATTTAAACGATAATAAGAAACGCAGATTGTTTTACGTTTTTTTTTTAAATCAACAATGATATCTTTGCTATAAAAACTTGGCATATTTATTCTAACATTTGAAAAGGAAGAAGTATTATCCTTTTTTCTTATTAAATACAAGATTAACGATTATCCAATAGTTCAATACTAAACTAAAATTAATTTCTAAAAACAGAGGACAAGTAGAAAGTCGGTAAATAAAATGGCGCGCTACAGAATAGAAGAGACCGTTACCATTTTTAGTCCCTCGAGTATCAGTTCAGTACTTAAAACCTACGAACTTCCGCCGTTAAGACTCAATTTCAGTGGTTTTGTGTTTACCACAGATATACCCAGTATATTATGCATTATTAAAGTCGTGCAGTAATAAAAAAGGCAAACAAAACGTCGGACTTACAGGGTGACGAGCTGCTGCCACCGCTGCTGCTGCTGCCGCGGCGTTCATACCTGCACTAGGGTACATGGTATGTTACGAGAACATGATTTTTAAATCCCCGGGGGCACTCTCTCACTTACATCCGAACAAAGCGGCCACGTTGGTAGTAGCACTTAATCCTACGGAAATGCGTCCGTCAGCGACCGAAAGAAATTCACAAAAAAAACACGCCAACCGATCGACACACAGGTCCTGATAATGTAACGAACACAAAAACATACGAAAAGGATAATAAAATGATCCTTGTAACACCCGATGCTTGTCAGTTGTTGCGATTAGTTCACTTTTAGATTGCTGGTTGGTTGTTAAAAAGTTTGTCAAAAACCGTAATGTAAACAATGAAAGCGCGTTTTGCCGCAGGACGAGGACGCACGGAACAGTACCGCGGTAACCACGGCGATCCGCAGGAGACTGATTTGGAACGAGTGTAGTTGTAGAACGTGGCGAAGGCTGTTTTCCCCCCGCGCAAACGCTTCACTTTTTCCTTGCGTTTGAATCGCAGTCAGTCGGAGGGCCACTAACAGGAACCCTCGAAGAGGCAAACAAAAAGACTTCTTCAGCCCCCTAAAAATGTGACGCGACGAGAGCGAAGAGAAGCGAGCGAGCGAACGAGCGCGTAAGTGAAGTAAGACACGGAGGCGTATAGAGGCCGAGGCCGGAGGGTACGAATGAGAGACAACAGCCAGCGAACGGGGCAGACTCGATGACGAAAAAAAAAAGAGAAAAAGACTTACCAACTTGTCTGCTTGAATTTGTAGATTTCGCATGCCGTTAAGCAACGCGACTACGACGGGCGACAGTGTTTTTTATCTAATTTACTTCGAAACACAGCTCCTGTCTGGCGAGAAAAAGAACTTAAACGGCCAGCAGATAAATGTTTTTGCACTTCTCCTTCTCTGTCAGTCACCCTTTTTGTTCGTACCGTAGAACTAGTCCAATAGGTATCTGGAATAAAAAGAAAACAGAATTTATAGGGATTAAGGAAGCTAAAACAATGCAACAAGGAGATGATATTTAATTAACAACAACAGTCTTCACAAGAGATAAATTACCCCTACAAGTCATAAGGGCAGCTCATGTTTATAGGATAACCACATAGATTGCAAAATATTGATTATTCAAATTTTGCAACTTCCCTGTATTTCTGAGATTTCTTCGTAAGAGTTGCAGAGCTGCAGAAGACCCCTACCAGAATTAAGATAGAGGGGGCAGCTAGAGTCCTTTCTAAGAAGCGATGTTAGCTACCCTGCTTCCATGGGACTGTCCTATAAGGCGCATAAAGGACATATAACGCCTTGCTTTATTGGCGCATCATATCTGAAGAAAAATGAGTTCTACTCATTCTAAAAAACTTTTGGGGAACCAATCGGATTATATCCCAGCCGGCCCGTGACTTACTACGACATCTACAATCCGGGAACTAACCGGGAACAATCCTTTTACAGCACCCTACGTAGACTGCTTTGACCCTGATGCCGATATCTTACCTGAACCCTTTTGCAGCATGTACTGTCAAGACTAATGTAATGTAGATACCCCACTTGAGTCCTTTGACATATGTCCTGTTTAGCTTGATCTAACCCTAATAGTGATACCCTATCTAAACCTTTTTTCACCATTATGGGCTTGATGTGGCTGTCCTATTTCAACCATTTATATGTATAATGGTTTGCCCCATTTAGGCAAATCTTACCCTACTGGTGATATAGTCCTATTTGAATTACCAACAAAATGTGTTCCAACACGACTGCTTAGACACGAACATCCACTTCTTCCAATCCAGGTTGTAATCCAATATCCCCATTCCTTGAAAAGTAAACCATCCCGCATCCCCAACTAACTATTTGCGAACAGAACTTCTCCTGTGTCTATTTGTTCTAGTGTCTGCTTCTAATACGTCTCTAACTCTAACCCTTCACATTTCAGAAGATGTCCTAGTTCCTACCGTTTTCTATCCACGCTGTTTTCACTATCAAACCCATACGTCCATCCAAATGACAGACATACATATCTATCTATGTCTTTCAAATATTGTCAGGTTTTGGTCCATGAGTTGTACCGGGAATGTAAGTGTTTTAGCAATGATGCTCCTTCACCGTATGTTCTTTCCATTAGTTGTACGGTATCTACCCTCTAGTGTTTCCCCCATTAAAAATGTCGAAAAGCAACACGTGGCTCACATCATCAAGACATAATAAGTCAACCAACAACCCCCTTACTTTATAAAAAGCTTCATTAAATGGTTAAGATGAGAAAACAACGGCGTCTAGATTTATAATGTAGGTGCCCATAACAGTCCCTTGCTGATGCAAGTGGGGTTCACGTACATTATTACTAAACTAAAAAAAAATGTTTTGATTAGCGCAGTAATTAGAAAATTTCATTGATTGTTTACCATGAAAATCATAATTAATTAATGATATAGAGATAAAGGGGTGTATAGATAATTATCAGCAAATTTTATTTATTCCAAGAAATTGGAAAAAATATCTACTAACAAGTGGAAAATTCAGAATAATTTTCGATTACGGAATAGATAGATAGATAGCACTTACACTTAAATTGATAACATAAGCAACCGTCCAAGAAAAATATCAAACGCTTTGTGTCTCTATGCTTTCGAACAAGTGTAAAATTGATTATGTTATTCACAATGTAATTCATCGTCAATATGCATATCATTTATAGACAAATCCCTAGTGCGATAATTCTGAACAGAACGCGTAATTAATACGAAAACCGAAACATTCATTCACGAAGTTTGCAAAACCAACATTTTTGTGATAATTTACAGTTATCATTTTTATTCTTTTCCGCATTGAATATAATTCAATAAAATTCTCTATAAAATTGGATTAAGTGCATTAATATCTGCGTCGTTTTTGCGATACCGTAAATTATACTTTTAAGATATTTGCCCTTTTCCGGTATCATAATGTAAATAAATTTAATCGCTAATAAAATCTCTAAATAAATATTTTTCATTTGTTTTGTACAGGCAACATTTAATGTTGTAAGTACTTCAACGTACGTGTTAATAGATCCGTGTGTGTATGTACCAAAGTAATGCCCGTATTTATTTCTAAATAATACATGAAAGAGGAGAAATAACGCGAAGCTCGACATTGTTTTCCTTTTTTCTTGCGCTTTATGTCTTTATTTGTAATACGCTACGAATTTAAATTCGCGTCCCTTAGCAACTCACATTCTGCTTGTACTCACACCCTTAAAACGATGCCAGCATGTAGGGTAAAGATGCGCAACGAAAAAAAAAAAAAAAAAAAATAAAAACTAACCCTCAAAATGGCTACCTGACAGAAAGCATCTCATTTTAGCAGAACGGGATCGAATCCGTCCTTTTTCCACCCGCATAATTCTACTTCATCCCCTTTCGTCCTTATAAATATGGCGTCCTGATTGCCAGTATAACAAACTAGTCGCAATCCACGTGGATCGCAAAACGCGAAAGCCACTTAGCCAATGATTCCGCGGGTTTTGTCGGCGACTTCCAATGCCGACTCGTATTTTTTCAAATCACTCCTTCTTTAAACGTTTTCAGCGTTTTCACTGTTACGAACTAATGAAAATCGAGTCGCGACGAATAGCGTCGAGCTCCGCCTAGGCGACGCTCTGACAGAGCTCGTCAACTCAACGTGGAATCGGAATCGTCGTTCTATAGCCGAGGTGCCGTGACATGGCCTGCTGAATATACACATACATGCATGGGGAACTGAGCCACGGAACAGAAGAGAAAAATTCAAAGAAGGAGAGATAAAATCTGGTGGGTTCAAAATAAAGCTCCATTCTTGCAGAACAAAAACCGTTCACTCGGAGCTATTAGGGCCGTCTAACAGGAGGTCAAACTTCCTAGTCACAATAGATCCAATTTTTGAAATCCATCACTTGAATGGGTACCTGGAAAACTTGTCTATTATGCCCATGTACCTACACAGAGGTTTCGGCACCTTAGAACCAACGACGAAATTAACATACTGGCGCACTTGTCGGCTGTGGGATGTAGCTTGTTTATTTTTAATGACTCGTAAAGCAATTACTCTGACATCCATATACATACGTCCACACTCGCATACACACATACACTTTGACAAGAAAACACACTACTTGTGTACGAGTACGTTACATACACGTACGTCTATAACACTTGCACATAATTGGTAACCGAACAGTTCATACACACGCGTATGCGTTAGGTAGTCGGTCCTGTGTACATGTTAACTTATGTACTAACCTACCTTTGTATGTACGAAACCGTGTACAAGGTTTATTTTATTTTTTTGCAACGTTTAACTTGTCAAGACAAACCCGCTCCTAAAACCGTTTAACATTATTCAAGGGTCACAGTTACTGAATTCGATCGATTTTTTGTTGTTTTCAGTACTTACGAAATTAAAAGCTTACACGTTCTCAGAAAAGTTGTGGCGCCAACCCTCAGAAGCAAGAACAATAATAATAATAAGCCGCAAATACCCTGGCATTCTCAGAAATGTTGCCGCACCAGGACCCCGACGTTCTTATTCAACTCTGACGATGTTCTTGTAAACGGATATTTATTTTAAAGAAGGCAATTCAATATTCCTTCAAAAAACAGAGCTCAAAAACAACGATGTAAGTGAGAGAATAATATGGAATGTTCTTATAGATATGTGGGAATTCTGCGGCATTTGAGATAAGCACTATAATATTGTCAGACATGATAGCTTAGGAGGTGGGATATTTTTACGTATAAGTGAAATTTCTGCGGCACATGGGGTAAACATTGCAATATTATCAGAAATGACAGTTCAGAAGTTGACGCATTTTTATGATAGATGAATGAGACTATTGCAAGATTTTGGAATAAATATTGATATATTATAAGAAAAGATCAGGACATTTTTATAGATATATCAGAATTTTCTATCATTTACAGTAAACACTACACTATTATGAGAAAAGGCAGTATAGAAGTCACGATATTCTTAATGATGAATGAGAATTCTGCGGCAGTTGAGGTAAACACTACAACATTGTCAGAAATGAATAGTTAGAACATTCTTACGAGTAATAGATCGGCGGCATTTGGGGTAAACATTGCAATATTATCAGAAATGACAGTTCATACTGCTGCAACATTTGGAATTAACATTAAAATATTATGAAAAAAGGTAGTTCAGAAATAAGGAGATTCTTATAGACGAGTAAGAATTCTGCGGCAATTAGGGTAAACATCACAAAATCAACAGTAGAGACAGTTTAAGCGTCAAGACATTCTCTTAATCCTGCGGCATTGTAACAGTGCGGTTAGGCATTACAATTTTCTCCGAAAAAATGACGATTAATTACATTACTGTTTTCGTTTTATTAGTGTTTTAATAAACGCAAACAAGTATTTTGATTGAGATCGATATTATTGGAGTGTATTAAAAGTATCTCTTATCAAAGCGAATTATCAATCAAATCTCCAATGGTAGACTTATAAAAAAATGATTTTTAGCTATTTCATGTTTCAAACAAGAAGTTTCCTAAACTTTATTTTTACTAATA